CTAGCTTCCTGCAAAGACACGCCCTTCCTGTGCGTGTAGCAGCAGGTGAGGGCTTGGGTACTTGGGTCCTTGCCACCTAAGTGGGATTCCTAAATTGGGCTTTGGGTCTGCGCTCCTCACTTCTGCCTGGTCTAGCCCAGGCTGTTGTGGAAATCTGAGGAGTAAACCAGAAGATGGATGATCTATCTTGACTTCCAAAATAGAAATGATTTTAAAAATTGAGATATTCATTCATCATAAAGTGTACAGTTTAATGGTTTCTAGAATATTCACATGGTTCTGTAAATCCTGATTACTATCTGATTCTGGAATATTTTCATCACCCCTGAACCAGAGGCATTCCCTCTAGGTTTGTCCTACCCTTAACCTGGGGTAGGATTGGTACCAACCAACCAGTACCAATCCTACCCCTAACCTGGGACAGCCACTTCTCCACTTTCTTTTTTATTTTTTAATTTTTTTTTTTTAAATTGGAAAGGCAGATTTACAGAGAAGGAGACAGAGAAAGATCTTCCATCTGGTGGTTTATTCCCAAGTGGCTGCAGCAGCTGGAGAGCTGAGCTGATCTGAAGTCAGGAGCCAGGGCCTTCTTCTGGGTCTTCCAAGTGGGTTAGGGTTCCAAGGCTTTGGGCTGTCCTCCTCTGCTTTCCCAGGCCACAAGCAGGGAGTTGCATGGGAGGTGGAGCAGCCAGGACACAAACCCGTGCCCATACGGGATCCCGGCACAGGCAAGGTAAGGATTTAGCCATTGAGCTGATGAGAGAGGAGTTAGAGTGGGTAATAGGCAGTTAGGGTATTCTGGGTCCCCGAGTAAAAGAGAATTTCCCCACCATGTCTTGGATTCACCAGAGCACATCTCTTCCAAGGGACAAGGATGCTATTAGCATATCAATTTCCCACCTGAAGTATCCACCACTACCTCTGGCCATTGTGGGAGGGCCTCAGGCTGATCTCTTTATCATTGAAAGGAGAGCAGGAAGAAGTAATACACATCTGCCTAAGGCCTGGAATGTCCTATGTCTGGTACCTCTGTGGCCTTTTGTCCCAAGGCCAGGTACCATGGAAACCAGGAATTTTCTTTATTTATGGAGAAACATCTTTGAGGGAAACCTTTAAAAGGTGCATTCCCTGCCTTTAATACGGGTTCTTCTTCTCTTCCTGCCACTATGGCAGAGCACTAGGGTTCTTTTTTACTTTTCCTCCTGCCATAGTGGCAGGAGGTAAGGGTCCTTTCTATCTCAAAACCCCCTCCCATCGCTAGGACGGGAGTCTTCTCTTCTCAGCTTTTCTAATAAATCTTGCTTGTTAAAACTAAACTGTGTCCGCACGAAAATTCTTCTTTCCTGCGAGACAAGAATTTGAGGTTGCTGCCATACTCGGAGTCAAAAATCCTGCAACACTGATGTGCCTTTACTTTCTGGGTCTGTGTTGTTGCCTTTTCTGAACACGACTCAAGCATTTTCACCCACAAGAACCTTAAGAAGTTGCCACTGGAGAGGAGCACCGCATGGCAGAGCAGCTGAGAGCATGACCTCTGATGTCACCACCCTGCCTCGAATCCAAGTCCCACGCTCACCAGCTGGGTGATCTTGGGCAGACAACGGAACCTCTCTGAGCCTGGGAGCTCTTCATAAAGACTATACGAGCCACTGCATTTAGAAGCTTAGCCAGGTGGGGCCCGCATCTAGTGCTGGTGCTGGCCCCTTCCCAGTCCGTGTTGCCCATGAGAACAGTTGGGCACGGAGGGGTTAAGAGGCATGCCCAAGGCCACACAGTTGGCAGCTGGCTGAGCCCTAGGTCTGACCAAGTCCTCTGCTTTTTCTGTGACACCACATGGTCCTGGCTGCCTCTCCACCAAGGCTCCAGGGAGCCAAGTTTCTTACGAACAAAACCAAGAGTCTGTGCCAGGCAGGAGGGAGGGGAGGGCGGGACCATGAAATCATTTAACTTTAGGGAGTCATGGCCCCAAACAGGCTGGTCTTGCAGGAACAGCTGACTGAGGCTGCTGTGGTCCTGCCCTAGTTTCCAGTTTCCCCCTCTGTAGGGAGGAGGGATGTGAGGGGGCGGGGGTGCATTTCCAAGCCAGGAACTGCATGCCTTTCTTGCTCCAGCTGCCCAATGGGACCTGCTGAAGCCACAGAAGTCCTGCCTTGAAGAAAACTCTGTTATCTAACAGACAAGGAAGATTGAGGCTACTCCTGAGGTCCCAGCAAACCCAATCATGTTGAGGATGGAGGGTCAGGAAGACCTGTGACCAAACCCCAGAAATACTGGTCTCCAAGGAAGCCAATTTAGTGAAGTCACATCTGTGTAGAGGGATGGACAGAGGGCAGGTCAGGTGCTTCCTAAGTCAAGCACCATCTCCTTGAAATGTTACAATAACATGTGTGGGGAAAGGACTCATCACTCCCACTATACAGATAGGAACACTGAGGCCTGGAAACAGACAAAAGTGGTACCAAGCTGAGAGGCACTGTTGAGGGGTGAGCAAGATTGGTCTGATCCAAGAACCTCTGGTCACAAGCCTTGGGCCGTGTGGGCATGGTCCATTTTGCACACTAGCAGTCAACAGTGTGCAGAAGTGCTGTTGGGGCCTCCTCCTCAACCTAAGATCTGGCTCCCCCAGAAGATGCTGTACCAATGTACTTCATCTCCTCAGTCGCAGGTGTTAACCGCAGGTGACAGGCCCAAGAGGGGACACTGACCTTGACCCCAGACCCTTGGGACAATCAGAGCCTCTCTGCTGGAGGCTGGGACTAGCAGCCAGAAATTCCAATGCCTTGATACCTGGAAAGGCACTAGTGCTGGGGGCTCATGGTGCCTACCGAGGGATGCTCTTGGAGGACCCGGAACAGTGGGCAGTGGAGGGAATTGGTGCAGAGAAAGGCTAGTGGAGAAACAAGGCAGGCACCACAAGTGATCCTGAGGCCACAGTGACAAATGTTGGAGAGCTGCTGATCGGAATGTGACGTTTGCTCTGGGTTCCGTGGGACCTGCCTGCCTCCTCCTACAAATCTGACCTCCCTTTGTGCCTAGCTAATTGCACAGGGTTTTGCTATAAGGAGCTAAACTGTCCCCAGGATGCCAATTAAATCCACCACTTCCCTCTTGGAGGCACCAGGCAGGTCAGCGGTGGCAGCACCCTCGCTCCAGCCCTGCAGTTTGCTGCATCCTGCAGCTTGCTGAGGCGTCTACCGGGCAATCACAGTCCACGTCCCAGCCCAGCTGTACGGAGTCTGCATATAGCACCCCTGGGCCTGGATAAACGCCTAGTGTCATAGCGCCTTTCATGTATGGCATCTTTCCTTCTTTACATCCAGCCCACGTCTGCTGCAGAGTGGAGTGGAAGATGCAGCCTGCACAGCGCACACGCGTGCGCGCACACACACACACACATGCACACACACGCACACACACGCACACACACACACACACACACACAGAAAGCTTTCATTATACTTTCCCTAATTAGGCAACTGGTGCTGCGGCTGCTTCAGGTCAGCTCTGGGCAGGGTGTGGGGTAGAGGTGGTCTCAGTGACACAGCACCTTCCCCTTTAAGATAACACAAAACAGAGGCTCTGGAAATGCTCTGGCAGTTTCTGGAACATTCACGCAAGCCCATTCCTGTTGCACTGCTCACTCATACTGACTGGCATAGCGGGGAGCCTATGGCACACATACAATATGTTCTCTGGGATTTCTGCAGAGCTGCTGCAACCATTTTGCAGTCACGTGGGTGGAATGGCAGCCTAAAGCCCGCAGTGTGGATGCGAGAATGAAGAAGGCAAGAAGAAGATGCCAGGTCAGGACATGGCTGGGAAAACCCTGAATTAAGCCTTGCCCTCACCCCCAAAGATAATACAGTCACAATAGCTAAAAACAAGACAAAACAAAAAACTCCTGTCTACACACACCAGTCTGAGTCAAGTTTTTGTCACTTGTAGCTGACACATCTTTACGAAAAAACATCCTGGCCTGAAGCCTGTCTGCAAGCGACCCTCAGGGCACAGCAAGGACAACATCCCAGTTCAGCAGGTCAGGGCAGTTGCCACTGTCCCCCAGGCAACTCTGTGACATCAGGTGACTCTGAACTGTGACTTCTACCTGCTCTGGGCTACTGACCATGATGTCAAGATGAATCTACTAATCTGTTTTAACCCCCAGGGCTGGGTTTTGACTGAGCTATCCACAGGCTGCCTAGTTCACTGGGAGACAAAGCATCCTTGGCGTGTGTTTGTTCATTCATGTGGGCACAAGGCTTTGTATAAAATATTCAGGGGAGACAGGATGAGGAAGACATGTGGTTCTTGCCCCTAAAGTCAGTCTAGAAGGAGGCCAACAACTTAAGGCTAAGAGAGACCACAGAGCTTGGGGGTGCAGAACAGCCAGTCCTTTCTTGCTGCTCTGGAAACGACGTCAGACAAGGTTTCCCAGACAAGGAGAGCTTTAGGGCAGCAGAAATTATTCCAGCCAGGGATTCAAGCAGGAAGGTGTGGTCCAGGCTGGGAATGGCTGGTGTAAAGGTATGGGTGGTGTTGGAGATGGGAAGTTGGGGAGGCTGGAGAGGGAGAGAGTGGGATCCTCAGAGCCCAGCAATGGATTTCAAGAGTTGAGCAGAGAGTCTGAGGAAAGGGAGGAGGAGGCCAGAGTTGTGGTCACTTTTCAGGGCTGAACAGCCTCAGAGGCCCAGCCACACTCAGTAAACTGAGCTCAACAGCCAATCGTATCATTGCTCAAAGCACAAGATCAAAACCTGCAATTCCAAAGCTAAATGGAAATGATTTCCAGATTATAGCTCGTTAACGCAGCAGTCAACAAGCACACTCTGCTCTCCTTTGGAAAATATGAGATGTCAAAGCAACAAGCAGTAAAACACACGACTTATGCCCCAAAACGTCATTTTGAAGGCTAGGATGAGGAGACTCTAAGGTCCCAGAATAATGGAAGCCCAGTGACACTCCCTCACAGCCTGAGGCTCGGCATGGACCCACGTCCTTACCTGGAGGTCAAAGAACTTGCTGTAGCGCCGGTAAATGGCTTCTGTGGCGCCGCTGGACCACGTGACCCGGATGATGTAGACCTGCAGACGGGACAGAGGAGATCAGGGTTAACACTGGGGCACCTTGGTATTGCTGGGACCCAGGGCAGAGCACAGGGTTTGGATCTCAGCTTTGCCAGTGACCGGGGTGATGAGCGACTTGCTCTGTTGAGCCTCAGCTTCCTCAGCCATAAGATGGGTACAGATGGATTAGAAGCATCAGCAGCACCAGCACTGTAAGGCTTCTTCGTGCCACGCTTAACTCAGCCAGCCAGTGGGCTGCCTGTTCTTCCAGTCATCCCTGAGATGCTGACTTTGATCAGGAGCCTGAGAGCTGCAGTTCTTGGCCATCCTGGTATTTTCCACAGGCTGAATCTCATGCCCTCTACACCAAGAAGGAAGCAAGTCAGCTTCATTTCTCCCCAAGACCCAGTTTCTCTATCTGGGAATTGGGATAATGGCACCTGCTTCCTTTACCACCAGGATAGAGTCTCCTATAAAATAAAGGATGGGGAACTGTTTTATGTCCCTCAGGCCACTGTAATGTTTCAAAGACACACACATATATTTAAATGTATTTATTTATATTTTATTGGAAAGATAATGAAAGAGAGAGAGATTGCAAGTGAGAGCTTCCATCTACCAATTCACTCCCTAGCAACAGCCAGGGCAGGCAAGGAGCTGGGAACTCGATGCAGGTTTCCTATGTGGATGGCCAGGAACCAAGTACTCAAACCACTGTCTGTCGTCTCCCAGATAATGTGCCAACAGAAAGCTGGATGAGAAGTTGAGTCGCTAGGACTTGAACCCAAGCACTGTGTTATGGGATGCAGATGTCCCAGGAAGTGACAAAATCACCGTATGTCCCACTTTTGCCACAAGTCACGACATTGCAGCAGACAATACACTGACAACAAATTCAGGCACACAGAGGCAGCTGTTGGAGGCCAGAGCCTTTGGGAGGGGACTGTGGGTCCTTGAGAGCTAAGGGATCAGCAGGCCTACCACTCATTCCTGGCTTGTAAAAACTATTAACTGTCACAGCCAACAATTAACTACATACAAGGGTGCTTTGCAAAGTTGAGAGAACGCATACCCGGAAAAAACAAGGCACAGATGAGAAGTGCTTATTTTTGCGTAAGAATAAATTTGTCTTTTCATCCATTTCTCATGACTCTTTTTTGAAGTTGCCTTGTAGAGACATGAAATGGAGAAGGACAAAATGGAAGTGGAGGAAGGCTGTGTCAACACAAACTCTCTGGTTAGAGGCCGTGGGAATCTGCTGTTTTCCATGAGTTGAGGCCAGCTGGGGAGGAAACACATACATAATGGAAGATGACTAACGTGGGTAGTGGCCAGCTAGCCTCCAATGACTCTTCCAACCAGAGCACCTTGACTCATCTCCTGGGGACCTCCTTCCCTAGCTTTAGGCCAATCCTTTGGATACAGAGGTATATTAGTACCCATTGTGATTGGCCGAAGGGTGAACATGCGCCCTGGAACTTCTTGCTCCACGTCTTCCTTCCCCAAAGTCTACCGGACTGCAAGGTTATGGAGCTGCTGGGGCCATCTGATCACCCTTGGGAGACACCTACCTGAGATGAGATTAAGAGATTCTTGGGACCAACATTGTGATGCAGAAAGTTAAGCCATCTTCAGGCCCCAGCTGCTCCACTTCTAGTCCAGCTCCCTGCTAATACCCCTGGGAAAGCAGAAGAAGATGGCCCAAGTACTTGAGTCCTTGACATTCATGCGGTAAGACCCAAAGAGAGAGAGGTCCAGGCTCTTGGTTTGTGCCTGGCCCATTACGGCCGCCTGAGAAGTGACTAAGTGGATGGGAGGTCTCTTTCCCTCTTGCTTGTTCTTTATGTCACTCTGCTTTTCGAAGAGATAAAAAAATAAATCTTTTAAAAGAGAGAGAGATTCCTGAAGACATAATCTCTTACATTTAGCTCTACTTGAAGCTAAACCTTTCCCTGGACCGTCCATTTCCTGGACAGTAATTATGTCTCAGACCACACCCAACCTTTTGAATTATTTTTGGAGCCAGTTGAAGTGGGGTTTCTATTACACATCATCTAGTCCTGCCTGACACAGGAAGGGAAGGCGGAGTGAGGCTTCTGAAGCTCGGAGTCATTGTAGGGTTGTCTTGACGGACAGAGGGGATTCAGAAAGCAGGAGGGGGAAGGGAGGACTAGGGCTGAGGGGCGACAGGACAGTTCAGGAGGAGATGGGGTTCTGCACTTGGCAGGGATGTTCAAAGCTTGCAGATTCTTTTTTTCAAATGAGGCCTTACTAGGATGCCTACGTTCAAGACAGGAAAAGGTACGGAGCTTCAAGGGGCTGGAAGGGTGCACCCAGTGAAACTGGTGCAGTCCCAGAAGACTCGCCAGGTGAGAAATCAGGACAAGAGGTGTGGTGGCCTTGGGTGCCAGGCAAAGCTGGCAACGGCATCTGAGATGTCAACACTGGCTTGGTTTCATTAAAGCATGACACATACCGTGGGACTTGGGCTCAGATTTTGGAAGGTCCAGATTCACACAGCTGCCTAATTAGTGAAGCCTCCACTTGCTTTTCTGTAAAAGGGGTCCTCAAGTCCATTTACATAGACTTGCAATAATTTTAAAAAGGTAAAGTTTATGGCCAGAGAGGAAAAACTCAAAAATATTTTTGTACCCTGTGCCCCGAATCCCCCTGCTCCATTGCTGCTCATAAAATCAGGGGATTTGAACCCTAGGATGTGGGCACCCCTGCTCACCCTGTGCCTTGTTCATAGTGGATGTTGACCCATAGTGGATGTTGGGGTCCACAACTACAGCTCCCTTCCCTTTCTAGAACTTTTAATGACACCAGAGTAAAAGAGGTTCTCCCCATTGCCGGTCTTGCTGGGAGGAGAATACACCAGTTGATGTCACGGCACACACGTTACAGACAAGTGAGCACAGGGACAAGTCCAGCCTGCACCCTGGCCATCTCCTTGATATAAAGCACCAGTGTGGGATACCGCAGTCAGTCTATTTCTATGAGCTGCACTCGAAGCAATGTTAACATTCCGACCTCGGTCTCCCTAAGCCGGGTCACACCCAAGGGCTTCTTCACAAGAAGGAATTTCGCACAGATGGACAGCAGACACCACCAACGTGCCCAGCAGCACTGGCTGAAAACAACAGAGTGGGGAGATGGGGCCCAGGAACAGAGCCAGTCCACTTGGATTCTATGAACAGCCCCACCTGAGACAGGATGGTGTTTGCTAGGCTAGGAGTAAATTCCTTCTTAAAAGAATGAATCAGGTTGCAGGCTTGGTAGCCTAGTGGTTTAAGTCCTCGCCTTGTACACTGCACGCACTGGGATCCATATGGGTGCCAGTTTTAATCCCAATGGCCCTGCTTCTTATCCATCTCCCTGCTTGTGGCCTGGGAAAGCAGCTGAGGATGGCCCAAAGGCATGGGACCCTGCATCCATGTGGGAGACCTGGATGAAGCTCCTGGCTTTGGATTGGCTCAGTTCCAGCCATCGCGGCTACTTGGGGAGTGAATCATCGGAGGTAAGATCTTTCTCTCTGTCTCTTCCCCGTCTCTGTAAATATGACTTTCCAATAAAATAAATAAATCTTAAAAACAACAACAACAACAACAACAAAATGATGAGTCAGGCTAATACAAAAGCTCATTTGGTTAATCCTTCCCCTTGCATGCGCCATGATCCTATCGTGGTTGCTCCACTTCCCTTCTAGCTCTCTGCTTATGGCCTGGGAAAGCAGTGGAGGATGACCCAAAGCCCTGGGACCCTATGTGTAGGTGACCTGGAAGAAGCTCCTGGCTCATGGCTTCAGATGAGCTCAGCTTCAGCCATTGCGGCCACCTGGGGAGCGAACCAACGAGGGAAAAATCTTTCTCTCCGTCTCTCCTCTCTGTAAATATGCCTTTCCAATACAAATAAATAAATTTTACTTTATTTATTTTTAAAAAGATGAGTCTGGCCCCTTGTCCCTTTCACTCTTTGTTCTTTGGTCAGGTGATGCCTTCCACTGAAGAATGATGCGGAGGGCCTCACCAGACACTGCGCCCTTGGCTGGGAACTTGCCAGCCTCCTGGGTGGACAGAATTCCCAATCTGTTCATTATCAGTTCTACCCAGTCTGTGGTGTCCTTATGATGACACCACATGGATGAGAACACATGGGGAAAGAAAATGTGGTGTCCATGTACAATGGAGTGTATTACTCAGCCTCACTAAAGGAAATGCTGACCCAAGCTGTGTCTCAGACACGCCCTGAAGACATGAGGCTCCAGGAAACAACTCTGTCACAAGAGGACAGACGGGATGTGGTTGTATTTCCCGGGGGGACAGCCGGGGTTGTCATATCTGCACGGGCAGAACGAGGAGGGTGGTGGCCATGGGGCTGGGCAGAGGGGACACGGGGAGCTTGATGGGGACAGAATTTCAGTTAAGATAAAGAAAGTTCTAGAGATGAACAGTGGTGATGGTGGCCCAAGGATGCGAAACATTTAATGCGATTTAAGTATATAATGAACAAAGGCTGAAGTGATACATTTTGTTACGTTGATGCTACCACCATGTAAATAAATAACTTGAAAAAGCAGATGTCTGGAGTGGGCACTGGGGCACAGCAAGTGAGACTGCCCTGTGGGATGCCTACACTCGGTATGGTAGTCCTGGCTCCTCCATGTTTCTGATCTAGCTTCCTGCTAAGGAGCCTGGGAGGCAGCAAACAGTGGCCAAAGCATTTGGGATCCCGCCATCCTTGCGAGAGACCTAAATGGAGTTAGTGGCTTTGGTTACTGCAGCCAACTGGGAGTCCAGCAGGTAGATCGATCTCTCTCCCTCTCCTTCCCCTTCTTCCTGTTACTCTGCCTTTCAAATAAAGAAACCATTCGTTGAAAAATAGATTTCCTATACAGACTTGCATGTTCCATGTGCCAGTCCCTGGAAACAAACTTGCTCTAGGGAACAGCATTCTAAACATACGCTGTGAACCTGAAAAAAGAACTTGCATTCAAAATATACTATAAAGTCTCAGAA